TTTCAGATGAGACTGGCCACATTTAATGGGGTATGGCAGTAATCTTTACTACCATTTTTAAGCTCTTTGTCCTTCCTATGACAATCCCTAGAGATTTCTTTAAGTGTTCCAATTCAATTATAACAGTAATTTTATTTTATTTTCACTCTGCTTCCTTCTCTTCTCTCCTCTTTCCTTTTTTTTTTCTCTAACTTCAATGCACTTGTGGTTTCTGGATACTTTTAATATTATCTTCTTGTTCTTTTACAGATTCATTATTTTTTATTTCAAATCTCAGAATGCATATTTTTATTCTAGATTAAAAGAGACCCTCATCTGTTGTTCCATTTTAAAAACTATTTTTTCTCTTGCCATTATTATATAATTATATCATTTCACTGTCCCTTTCCTCCCTCTAAACCCTCTCATCTACCCCTCCTTCCTCTCTTTTGAATTCACAACCTCTTCCTCCATTAACTGTTGCATATATATGGTATATGCATAACTATTTTTAAGTATATGAACACAACCTGCCCAGTCTGTACGATATTCCTTGTACGCATGTTTTCAGGTTTACCATTTGGAATTGGATAATCAATTGGTGTGTCCTTCCTGAGGGAGACTACATTTCTCCCTCTCTCCAAATCCCTTAGTTGTCTTAGTTCTTTATGCATGGTTGAGGCCTTGTGGGATTTGATGGGTGCATTATTATTAAGTTTTTCCTTTTCACCTTGTTCCTGTATTATTATCATCTCTCTCCATTTGCTTTTCCTTTTTAGAGTGTTTGTATAGCCTCAGCGAAATTAGGGAAGTGTAGACTGTGATATACTTCCAGCCCCACACAGAATGCTATTCCCACCATAGAGCAGTGCAGGCATTATTACCAAGGAGCTCTGACCTCTCAGTGTCATACAAAAGCCACAGCTGACAGGAAGGCTCCCTTTTGGTGCTAATCATTCTATAGATCTTGATGAGTATATACCCACCATTATGCCAGCATACGGCACCTTTCTTCTGCCCTAGGTATGATTGTATTCATTCATCCTGCTTTCCTAAAACCCCTGGTAGCCACAGACTCCTTAAGGAGTCACAGTTTTGCCTTTTCACAATGTCCTACAGCTGGAACCAAAGCATTCGTAATCTTTTCAGGTCGGTTTCCTCTTTCTCTTGGTTGTATATATTTAAGATGTTCAACATGATGCTTTGATACACATATTGAAATTATGATATTCAAGGAAATAATCACACTTTTTACCTTTTATTTTTGCTTTATTGAGTTGGGTCTCTCTGTCTTGACGGTCCTGTACTTGCCGTGCAGGCCAGACTGGCCCCAAGCTCACAGAGATCTGCCTGCCTCGGTGTCCCTGAGTGCTGGGATCACAGACATGCGCCACCATGCTCAGCTGCTCTTTCTTGATTAAGAGCAACTGAAATCTATTCTCTTGGCAAATTTCAAGAAAAACGTGATATTAACTACAACCAACACACTGTACTTCAGCTCTCTAAACTCCACATCTTGCTTAATTTTGTGTCCCTCCACCAAGAACTTCCCATCCTTCCCTCCCTCCCTCAGTATCCTTGGTAAACAGTTTTATTCCATTTTTTAAAACTAAACCTTTTTAGTGTCCACATGTAAGTGAGAACAAGCAGCTTTTCTATCTGTCTGGCTTATTTCACTTAATCACTATCATAATGCTTTCCAGGCTCCTTCATGTACCCACCATTGGCAAGACTACCCTTTTGAGCCCATTTTTAAAGGCTGGATGATATTCTAATACACATATAGACTACTGATTCTTTATTTATATTCATCAACTGAAGGAGCACATAATGTGCCTATATTTCAGCATTGGGAATAATGTCACAATGAAGAAACGGCATAGATTATCCCCATGAGGTATTGATTTTGTTTTCTGTGTATACACTCCTACGAGCAGAACTGTTGGGGCATACGATTCCTCTCACCTACAATACGCTTTTATGAATCCTCCCTGTTGCTTCAGGGCCTGGTGGTTCATTTCTTATTAGTACAGAATAATTTTCTATTGTTACAACATCACAATTTACTTAGTCATCTACTGAAGGGTATTTTGGTTACTCCGTGAATTGAGCAATTATAAAGAAAATTTCTATAAACATCTACATGCTAGTTTTGTGTAGACGTAAGTCTCTGGGTAAATGGCAATGGGAGTAATCCTGTCAGACCATGTGGTACAAGTATGGTTTCGTAAGAATAAACAACAACAAAGGTCTCCCGACAGCATTCCGGGGTGGCAGAGAAGGCAGTTTCTCTTGTTCCCACCTTTCCCAGCCTTTGCTGTGCCACTGTTCTGATTCTGTTATTTAAGAATATTTACGAAGACATCTCACTGTCGTTTCTGTGTTTCTTTTTGTGGTTGTTTCAGCACACATCTTTCTCTGCTGTCTTGCACGAGTTGGCTTTCTATTGACAAACTGTGAGGCACTAAAAGGGTAAGTGGAAGCTCTGGCTTGATCATAGGACTGTCACACAGAAAAAAACATGTCTTCCTTGAAAGCTTCCCTCCACCCTCATTATTTGTAGTTGGAGCTATTTTTCTATAAAAGTACTTCTCTGCTTGTTCTGTGTTGGTCTGCTGCTGTGTATTCTGATACTAATTACTGGCCTCCAAGATCTGGTTGATGCCCAGATAAGTACATCTTCACATAAGCTGGTCTTTGTTGTGTGAATCTTGTTCTACCTAATGTTCTACCTAATGTAAAGTTGATTGGTTAATAAAGTTGCTGAAGCCTGTGACTGGGCAGAAGAGAAACAGGCAGATCTTAGGTCCCTGGAATGGACTAGGAGCATGCAACTAAGGGAAGTGTACCCTGAACACAGACTAATGGAGCAGAAGCCACCCAGGAGTCATCAGGTTGGCAAGCAATGGACATTTATATGGGTTTTAAGGGTAATATGATTAGAATACCTCAGAACCTGCCCAGCATAGTGCCTACAGCTTAGTAATAAATCATAGTCTATGTCAATTACTGGGGAACTAGCTAGTTAAAGAAAACTGCTGCCGTATTACAGTGCTCCAGAATACTTGTTCCCATCTGCTGATGGTGATGTGGAAGCCAGGGGAGGGAGGGCAACTGTTCTAATCCCAGAGCATAAGCCATGTTTTCACAGAATGACCAGCAGCCACCAGCAGCTTCTGAGATGACATCATGTGTAAGACCTGCAGTCCTCTGTGATTCTGTCCCAGAGAGAACTCAGCATTCACCACCGACCTGACATCTTACATTCACAACTTGTTTCATTCTCATGACAATCCTAGAAGGAAAGTGTTGTCAAGACCACTGTATAGTCAACAAAGTAAGGCTGAGGGCATGTGGTACCTTGACAATGCCTCCTCGGTACCCAAGAACAGTCCTGACAGACTGCAACCTGCTAAAAATTTCAAGTAAGAGAATTTCATGTGAAAAGATCCTTTCTTTTTTTCTTTAAAGATTGATAGATTGATTGATTGATTGATTGATTGATTGATTATTTAATGTATGAGTGCTCTATCTGCAGGTTCACCTGCAGGCCAGAAGAGGGTACCAGATCACATTACAGATGGTTGTGAGCCACCATGTGATTGCTGTGAATTTAACTCATAACCCTGGAAGAGCAGACAGTGCTCTTAACCACTGAGCCATTTCTCCAGCCTCTGATATCTTTTCTTTTTATAAACATGATATAGACATGTCTCTTCACTTAAAAAAAAAAAAAACAAAAAACAAATTGATTTCTCACCAGTGACTCCAAGTTGAACACAGTACCCCTTTATGGTAGTCAATCAGCCGAAGGGGGAGATTAACCACATACTATTTTCTAGTCTCACAGAATGCACTGAGAAGAAGCCTACCTCCATTGAGTGCCTTACAGTGACTGAGGAATCAATCAGCGAAGACAGGGGCAGCGGTAGGAGTGAAGAACATGAGGAGGTTAGTTCACGGACCCAAGCAAGCTACAAAAGGAAGAGAAGAGGAAAGGAAGAGAGAAAAAGGTGTTTTCACTTTATGTTTCCCAGAGCCAAAGAACAACAGTGTCAGAATGTTAAGGATAAATGATCTGAAAGATAAAATTAATATTATTTTTTTAATTTTATAAATTTAAATACTGCTCTCAAGTAACTAAAACTGACCGCCACACAGTTGACTCAAGTCTTTTAACAGGACTTATCAAAAGAATATATTACAATGTTGGAAGAATTATACTAATTTGAAGAACTTTCTTCATGAGAAGAAGTTCAGTTTTTCAATTAATATTCCTGGCAGGATTTACAATGCTATCTAAAGGTATCGCTATTCCTGAACTCAGGATGCTGTTACAACAGCCTGCTATCTTACACTGTCTTCTGGTATTTTTATCTGTCTTCACATTCACCCTGGAGGCAGAGGCATGCAGGGGGATGCTGCTGGATAGTCAAAGCCACCCAGCTGCTGATATAAGCTGCAGCTCTGAAAAGGTCACTGAGTTGATTCGTTACAAATTCTGTTCATTAAAAAAACAACTAAGTAGGTATTTCTGATGCATAGACAAGAAAAATAAAATAAACAGAGTTTTAGAACTCTGTTCTCAAGATTCTTAAAATTCTCAAAAACACCTTTAGGGTTCTCGTTTGTTTGAGCCTAGAATAATACCACTTAAAAAAAAAACAAACCCTATTTTTTGTACATGCTGCTTCTGTAAGTCTGAAAGCCACAAGACCATTGAGAGCAAAGTGAGCTGATCATGCTTATGTTGGACTTCTAAACAAATCTAATCCAAAGAGAGATCAGGTGATAAAAACACCGACTTTCATCCTTACCACAAGAAAACAAAACCGATATCCACAGCATTGATGATATATGCTCCCTGGAAATTAGATTCTTGGGGCTGTGTGTGTGGTGCTGGAGTTCGAAGCCAGGGTCTTGACTGTGCTTGCTACATCTGTGTGCTACTGCTGCGCTACACCTCCACCCACAGACACCAGATCTCAGGCATCAAGTAAACAGCGTGATTTGTTGCTCACCCGTCTGGATGCACATAGTAAGCAGGAGATGGACTGAGTAAGAAGCCAGGAAAGCGACCACCAGCAACAAGAAACTAAAATGTAAAAGAACACACGGTTACATTTTCCCCAAACTTGCCCTTTTTCATGATCTCTCCTTTGTTCACAGTCAGACAGAACTACAGACATTAAAGAAATGTTCCATATTTACAAGTTGTACTTAAATCAAAATGAAGTGCTTTTAATGTTAGGAGAGAAATCAGAAAAAAATAAACTTTACTTAAAACACAAATTCCTCATTTTGCCCTGTCTGCTGACAGTCAGCTCACCAGTGATCTAAATATTTCCTTTTAATGACTAATTTTTCCTGTTTTAAGTCTCACTGTCTTCTTCTTGTCCCATCTTCCAAACTCCTTCCCTTTCCAGTGATGTGAACCTGTTAACCATAGCCTTACTATGGTTTTATGTATAGCTATTACCATAGCTTTACTATGGTAATATCAAGATGACAATTCCTGGGCTCTATGGAGCATACACACCTTTCCAGCTCAAGCCCAAACAACGCAATCAACACATTTCTAATAACACAATTTAAAAACCTGTGTAAACACTATGAAAATAGACAGCATAGATGCTTCTGCTTATTCTCAGGAAAATCTTGACAGGGCAGGCTAGCTCTACCACTGTCCTCAGGATACCACACCAAAGTTATAGAAATCCTCTTTGTGATTCACTTAATACATAATAAGTAGTAAGCAGCCATTAAAATGACATCAGAGACCTCACAAAATAACAGTCTGATAATGCCCATTTGGTTTCACATAATGGGCCCACTGTCGGTGACACACACCTTCACGTAAAACTCCAATATATAAAACATGAATTTTTCGTGTTAAAAAAAAAATCTTTAGAAGAAAAAAACTTCTCTAATTATGGGCTGCCTAACGTGTCACATATAGTTTTTGAAACTGTCAAAGCTTGTGAGCACACTCCATAACAAAAGCAAAATACTTAAAAGCTGTTTTACTTATCAAGAAGTTTGGAAAAAAGGGAAGAAACTGAAAAGAGACTTCGCATTTTAAGTTGACAAAACAAACAAATGGCAACCTGAACAAACAAGCAAACGGGAACCCGGTGCTAGAAGCTCAGTATGAGATCTGGTTCTAAAACATCTCAGAGCTCAGAGCAGAGATGAACTTGCAAAAACAAAGCTACCCATGACAGTAAAACAATGAACATACAAAGCACTATGCAAACAAGAAGCCAGAAAACTGTCCTGGGCTAACTGGCTGCGGTGGCTTGCATGGCAATGGCGCCCACAGCTTAGGCCCAGCACTAACTGTCAGGTTAGCAAATGGTGACCAAATTAGGAAGGATCAGGAGGTGTGTCTTGTTCAGTGCCTCCTGCCTGTGTATTGGGAATGTAAGTTCTCAGCTATTCTCCAGTGCCTTGCCGGGCCTGCCTGTCGGCCACCAGCCACACCTCCCAGCGTGGTGAGGGTCAAGGGCTTACTCTCTGACACTGTACGCAAGCCCCCAGTCAAATGCTTCCTTCTATAAGCTGCCGTGGTCATGGTGTCTAGTCACATCAATGGGACACGGAAGCCAGCTCTTGAAACTAGGCACAGGACATGTACCGGGCTCCCAAACATTAAAGAAGTATTATTTAGCAACACGAGGAGGCAAGAAGGATGTTTTATTCGCACTTAAAAAAATTGCTATTAGCCTTTAATTCCAGCGCTCAGGGTGGCAGAGGCAGGCAGGATTGATGTGAGTTCGAGGCCAGTCTGGTTTACAAAGCAAGTCCAGGACACAGAGAAACACTGTCTGAAAAAAATTGCATGGCCGACACAAGTTTCAATTCACATTGGCTAGCCTGACACACGTAAGTTTGAATAAGAGACTTTTAAAATTATAAAAGAGTTGTAGATCAAGTTTTTTTTTTTTTTTAATATTAGTTACATTTTTAGAGTAATAAAAAAATCAACATCAGTCCTGTACTGCACAATGCTGTTTGGGTTAACAATCAGGTCTTAACAATATGGCTGTCAGACTCATGTCATACTGTAACACATGTGACTCATGTCATGGTGAAGCTGGGGAAACAGGCTGCTACACTGTCAACCATAAAATGTACAGCACATGCTTTCACATCTAGTATAGATTACACACTAAGAATAAATAATCAAATCATTAGTTCATAAATCAGCTGTTACAGTGCTGCATTTATTATACTATCAGATCGTATTTTTTTAAAATCATGGTTTTAGAGTACACTTTTTTATTGTTGCTGTTGGTTGGTTTTTTGAGGTTGGGTCTCACTTGAACTTCTAGGGCTGAGGAACACCCTGAATTCCTTACCTTCTTGTCTCTCCCTCCCAACTTCTGGTATTATAGGTGTGTAGCATATTCCTTCTCATTATAGGGGAATGTTAACTATAAAATAGTCTCGGACCAATCCTTTGGGTATTTCAGAAAAGGCCTTGTCACAGGCAATGCAGCTTCAGGTGTGTATTGCCTAAAGACCTCCCGGGGAGCAAGATGTGTAAGCTGATGTTGGTGATCCTGGCTCTCAGGGAGTGACTGTGTTTCTGCCTTAGTTTTAAAGAAAAAAGTTAGCAAAGGAAAATATGAAAATAAGAGTTGATTGAATTTTAAAAAGCTTACAGAATAAGGACATAAAGAAAGATTTTTATACCGTATATGATGTTTGTGTTTTCAGCTGTTTTAGCAAGAATCAAAAAGTTAAAGAGACAAAAAGTTTAAGAGACAAAAGTCTCTTAAAAACAGTCCTGTGACCTCCTCTCATAGGAACAGCAATTTTCTTTCATAGGATCTTTTGTATGTTTAGGTGCACAAATACCATTATGTTACAACTGTTTACTGCATTTACTACACTAATATGTGGACCACATTATATGAGATGATTTTTGGCCAAGGAGCAACAGGCTCTATCATATAGCCTAGATGAGTGGGAGGCTTCACCATCTAGGTTTGCTTTAGTTCTCTATAAAGATCACCTAACAATGGAACGGCTTTGTGCCACGCTTCTGAACACGGACACCCCATGTGGTAAAGCTCCCCTATTTTGGTTAAGCAATGACAATTCCCAGAATCAAGTGACTTGTTTTTCTAGATCCTCACCCTCTGTGCCCTATGGACCCCAGGAATGGCTGACCAGGAAAGGTGCTTATCTACCACATGACAGTCTCAGCACTCACCTTATCTCCCTAGCTACCCTTAACAACCACCTGCCCAAAAGGGCAAAGATTTCGGTAGCCTTCCCCTTTCCTGTAAGCCAACAGGCACATCCTTATACCAGAGCCACCCTCTACAGGTGCTTTTCCAAAGTTTACGCTATCCCTAGTTCCCTTCTTGATGTTCTTATAAAAAATGTACATCCCTCAGGCAATGTGTAACTATATGTAGCATCCTTCCAAGCTACAGACTAGTTAAGCGCAAAGATAACAAAACAACGCTAAACCTCGGAAATAATCCAACCAGGGATTGTAGACCAGTAACTTCTGGAGTTAAAATTCCTTATTTGGATAAGACAAAAACAGGCCTCACCTAAATCCAAGGATACCGGTGTTAGCCATCACATAAGCCAAGCCAAGGATGCCACTTCCCATGATGGCGTTCATCACATTGAAGACTGAGAAGCCAAACGAAGCACCTGGGGATCCCTGCCGGTGAGGTTCCTGTAAACACACATTTTAACCACATTAAATGTTTGAACTAGGAAGTTAAAATATGTCAAAACACCACTACACATTAAACTGTAGAGCCAATCTACAAACTTAAGGCTTTGTGTGAAACATTAGCTAATTAACCAGGACATGGTTAGTTCTTTGGTCAGTGTAACACAGGCTAGAGTCATTTGAGAAGAGTTGGAAGAATATCCTCATCAAATTGGCCTGAAAGGCAAGAATGGGGGGGGGGGATTTTCACAACTGATGTGAAAGGGCATAGCCCACTTTAGGCAGTGGCATCCCCAGGCAGGCTGTTCTGGGACTAAGGAAAGCAAACTGAGCAGGCCAGAGGGTCAAGCCAATAAATAGTATCCCTCCCTGGCCTCTGCTTCAGTTTCTGCCTCCTGACTTCCCTTCATGGTGGACTGCAGCTGTGAGGTGAAATAAGCGCTTTCCGTCATGGTCTTCATCACATCAACAGAAAGCGAATTTGGACATAACACTTGTTCCTTTTGACCTCTTGGTGCAACTCGAAGAACCTCGTCTTTCCGCGAGCCATGGGCTTGTGACTTCAAGAGAGGAAGAAAGGGTAAGCACAGGGTGGAGAGCAAGGGAAGGTACAGGCCTCACTCAGCTCACGTGATTCCTGAAGAATCCCCGTTGTCAGCATTGGAACTGCTGTTTCTCCCATACTAGGGCCTCAAAACTAACCTTTTATTTACACATGTAATGAATTAAACTCGCCCAGGAAGGTGATCAGGAATGCCTTACAGGAACAGCAGAAGCAAAACTATCAACTGTTACAGTTCGAGGATCAGTTAAAAAGCGGGGTGCCAGGGCTGAAAAGTAGTTCTGGGTTAGGGCGCTTTTCTAGCATGCTCAAGGCTCTGGGCTGGACCTTCAGCACCAAAGTGTGGCAGGGGCCCTGGAGTGCACACAGCCCACGACACTGGCTTAAGGTGAACCGAGGACAAGCTACGTGCACAGTATCACAGCCCTCTCCTCATCTTCACTTACGGGGACTTCTTCGCCCTGTGATTAAGTCCAGAAAAGTAACACCTCTTGATGTTTCTGCAAAGACCTCGAAAGAGTAGATGGGAGTTTCTGAGAGGCGACAGATACGAAACAACGGTGAGTCACAAAACCATGGCTCATGCTGCCGGTGTCCCAGCCCCACTCTTGACTGAGCGAGCCAAGCTACTGCCACATTCCAAACTCGGTTGGGGTCAGTGGGTCGGGCCCCACCCCAGGGTCCGTCCTCTCCTGTCCAGGACTCTTCTTGCAAGCAGTGGAGGATGCCTCAGCACACTAGCCCCGCGCGCTGTCAGAAAAGCCCACTTACGTTGCTTAGCAACGGGCTCCACTCTTCCGCAGCCGAAGCCTCGTCGGGCTGCTGGACAGAGACGTACCATCCCGGCTCGGGTTGGATGCTGCTCCGCGACGCCTGCATGCTGCTCGGCGACCGACTGCCAAGTCCATCCGCGAGCCTCTGTTCCGGCTCCACGCTCTCCCCGGCTGAGCCGCGTCGGGGGCGGAGTTACGGGTTTGGCCCTTCGGGGCTCCCGTACCTCTCCCGCGGCCAGGAAGAGGGACGCGAGTCCACAAGGTCCGACTAGTCGCGCGCGGCCTTCGCGGCCAACAGTGATGACGTCAGCGAGAGTCCGCCCACCCGCCGCAGACCCATTTCCGAGCTGCCCCAGAACATGAGGTGAGAATTTCTGGTCGGAGGCCTCGGATAGCGCTGGACTTGGGGAAGTGCAGCTGGTGAGGGGGCCGCAGGGCCCCAGGTGATGCCAAAGACTTGACGGTCCGGGTCAGAAGCCGTGCTCCCGTCTCCCGCCTGAGGAGCGCAGAAAAAGCCGCCAGGCCATTTATCTCGTGGTCCACTGGTTGCTAAGCCAAGGCCCGAGCCCTTGGTAAGTGGCCTGGTGACGGCTGGGGAGTGGCTGAGTGGTAGAACGATTCCCTGGCATGAGTAGTGCCCAGGATTAGATTCCCAGGACCACAGAAATCTTTTCCTGGTTTTTATCCACATTTACAAATGGAAAATGGACACCCAGGCTGAGCCAGTGTCAGTCTAATTCATTAACTCCTGGTGTAAACCTAAACATTCGTGCTCTGTATTATAGGGTTCTGTAATAGGGCCCTTAACCGCTTGGTATTTTAAAGGATGAAGTGAATCCCCAGTACCGTGCTTCAAATGAACAACCCAGTAAAGACTCATCAAAATACCGAAGCCTTTACTTACAGGCAAGGCACATGGCAATACAGTCTGAATGGCATCCCAGCAATATAACTAAGGTCACGTGGGAAGGGAGAACATCTCATGTATCCAGATTAGCCTAGAGGATGACCTTCAACTTCTGCCCTCTGAGTGGGGTCAGAGGCCTGCACTACCATGCCCAGTTCATGCAGTGCTGAAAGCTCATGGATTTATGTGTGCGTTGGAAGTCACTCTTCCAACTGAGCGATGTCCCCAGCCCTTAAGAGCATTCCTAACAAGGTTTTGTTTTCTGAGTTCTGGTCTCAAATGCATCCCAGGCTGGCCTTGAACATTTAATCCTCCTTTCTGTCTCCTTATGCTGAGATTACAGGCAGGAACCACCGTGCCTGATATTGTGTGATGCGGGGGATAGACCCCGAGGTCTATCCCAACTGAGAAATGGAGGTGTAAGCCTTGCTGAGCCACTTACCAGCCACAGGACATTGGGTTATTAACTTACTCCTTAGCTTACAAAGTTCATAACAACTTCTGATACAGTTACCCATAAGGATGTCCTAGTAAATGTTGCCATTGGTAGCAATTTCATGTTTAGATGTCCCTCAACTCAAATTTCATGCTTCCAGTACTCTGTGTTCCATAGAAAACTGTGAGCAAAGTTTGTTGGGTATAGAGAGGCTGCCAAACCTCTAATCCTTCTATTACAAGGGCAGGTAGACTGAAGAATCATACTTTTTTGCAAGAGGGACTGTCCGTTTCCCTTGCCATCCAAATTTTTGTTAGCACTTGGCAAGTGGTTTAAAAGAGAATTTATGTTTTCATTCTTAAAAGCCATTGTGAATGTGCTCCTGTGTAGCTTATAGCATTTTTTGTTTTTTAAATATTTTTTCTAGAATCTTATGGAAGACATTTGGATTCTCAAGAAGACTTCTGCAAGTAGAATGGTGTCACCCCAGTGAGTCAGTATCTTTGATTGTACTGACAAGAAGGACATTGGTACCGAGGCTTAGGAAAGCACCTAGTAATTTTTCGTTGTGTCAGAGACAAGGATTCTCAACCATGCCAGAAATAGAAGCAAGTATGAGAGATGCTGAATTGTTTTCACCACCCTCTGATGTTCGAGGAATGACAGAACTTGACAGAGAAGCTTTTAAAAAAACAGTGTCCATCCCAGTGCTTAAAGTGAGGAAAGAAGTTGTCAGCAGGTTGATGCGAGCCCTCAAGAGAGTGGCCCTGCATCGCCCAGGCATAAAGCGAGTGATTGAGGACCCCGGAGATGAAGACGGTAGACTAATCATGTTGGACCCCTACAAAATGCTTACCATTGAGTCCTTTGAGAAAACAGAACTCGCCGTTTTAAAAGAACTTGATGTTAGCCCACAGCTGTCTGAGTATAACTTGGAACTAACTTATGAAAATTTTAAGTCAGAAGAAATTTTGAAAGCTGTGCTTCCTGAGGGTCAAGACGTGACCTCTGCGTTCAGCCGGGTTGGACATATTGCACACCTGAATCTCCGAGATCATCAGCTACCCTTCAAGCATTTAATTGGTGGGTGTATTATATAGTCAGATTCATGTTCTAGAAAAAAATGGCTAATTCCAATTGTAATGCTTCAAATTTTTTTTATTTAAAAAATGCTAATCTACAGAAGAGGCATAGGTTAGTTTTAATTTGAGGCCAAATCACAGTGCCATCCCCCTCTTTGAAGAGCATTTTGGAATATCTTCTGCATAGTCACCATGTTGGCACTGACTTTTACGTCTCCTGACACACAAAACAAACCTCTGTTCTATATTCAACAAAATTCTTTTGGTGCAAAAGCCATTAGGCCTTTGGGACAATGTTTAGTACTAGGTTTCAGAAATTTGGGTTTCAGAGTCAAATATACAATGCTGTTCACTTACTGATTTAGCTAATTAAGCCTTTTATGTTAAGCACTTTAAAACTTTTTTATGTATTTATGTAGTTATTTGTTTTGTTTTTTTTTGACACAAAGTTTCTCTGTGTAGCCTTGGCCCTCCTGGACTCCTTTTGTAGACCAGGCTGGTCTCAAACTCACGGAGATCCACCTTTCTCTGCCTCCCTGAGTGCTGGGATTTCATGCACCACCATGCCGTGTTTAAAACTTTATTCTAAGTGCTCCTAGCCTTTTAGAAATTTCTCATGTACACCCTACTATTGTAACTCCAGGGAAACTCAAGGCCTTTATTCTTTGCATAGAAGGCTAATCAAAATCATATTTTATATAAATACTTGGTATACACGCATTCTGTAGGTTACTCTTTTTAATACAATAATTTTCCAAACGTGTGGGAATTGTTCACAGGTTTAAAATGTAGGATTCAGTATTTTGCATGGGTGGGACTTGACAATGCCATTCTGCTTTCTCTCTGTTTTTATTGATAAAGACATTAATACCACACTCTGGTGATACCACACTTTAGAGTGAGGACTCGGGGCAGTGTTAGATGTGGGCTTTCACATTGTACCTGCCTACCCTAACTCATTCTTTGGCCATTCTGGTTTTTTAAATTCTCATAAAGTGGTGGTTGTGCGCAAGGGTTAAAAGTGAAACATTTCCGGCTGGGGATACAGCTCAGCAGGCTTACCAGGTAAGTGCAAAGCCCTTAGGTTTTGCCGCGGTATTATAGAATTGCTTTTGATGTCTTCAGGTCTCATTGAAAATTTACCTTTTATATCTCAGAAGTTAGTGGAAGGCAATTCATCCAGGAATACATTATGGACAGCACAAATTGGACTTGCTGGGTAAAAAATAAGAACACAAAAGCTCGATGAGTAGGGAAGGTGTGAGCCTGGGAGGGAATGGGGAAGGGGCTTAAGAGCTTCAAAACTTGTACACATTTTCAAAACTATTTTAAATTGAGTTCAGATATGTAAAGCAGAACATAAGCACATAGGACGTTGATTCATTGTTTTATTTTATTCTGAATTCTGAAATTATTATATTTCAGCGAGTTTATTTTTAGTGCATTTTACTAACTCAAAGACGAAGTTCTTTTCCTTATGAAATGAGAGCATATAGATCTTTATAAAATTTCGAAGTGTTAACAAAAAGATACAGACTTAATTAAAGGGCTGTAACAGTAAGTCACTTCTGATGTGTATTGTAGCTTTTCTGCTATGATAAATATTTGACTAAAAGAACAATTTAAGTAAAAGAACATTTTTAATTTAGGTCAGACTCTGAAAAATGTGCGTCTCCTTGGTTGTAAACATTGCTTGCTGATACACATTTCCAAACTGGTGGCATTTTCTTCAAACCCACAGTAAAAGAAACCTTTGGTGTGAGGCCAGAGGGACAAGCATATGGCTTTGCTACCCATTCCTGGGGCCGTTTGTTGTCATGGTCTTCACAGCTTCTCATTCCATTGTCTGTGTCATATGTTCGACCCTTTTGCCTTTATTTGAGTATGTTTAATGAAAATATGGAAAAATCAAGAGACCACAAGTCCTTGAAAAGGTACCCATAGATTTTCTATAGGTAGGGCTGGAGAGATGGCTCACAGGATAAGAGTACTGGCTATTCTTCCAGAGGTCCTAAGTTCAAGTGCCAGCACCCACATGGTGGCTTAAAAATCATCTATAATGAGATCTGATGTCCTCTTCTGGCATGCAGACAGAACATTGTATACATAATAAATAAATTAGAAAAAATTTTCTGTATGTACTAAAGGCTGTTAGTCATTAGCTTATCTCTTTGCTTTCTAGAATTATAGACAGAACTACACACACCCAAATACAGTTTTTGTTTGCAAACCAAAAGAAAATGTAATTCATTGTTGTTAAATATTTTTTCATTTGAATTTCACAAACAATAAGCAGTATTTATAATGAATTTTCACCTTTTAGGCCAAGTTTTGATTGACAAAAACCTAGGAATCACGTCGGCAGTAAATAAGACCAGCAGCATTGACAGTACGTACCGAAATTTCCAAATGGAAGTGCTGTCTGGAGAGGAAAACATGCTCACCAAGGTACTGCACTGTTGCCCAACTCCGGGCGCACCGCAGGGCTGACGCTTGGAATCAAGATGGCACACATTCTTAATACCCAGGGTTGAAGTGTTGGGCAAGACTGTGAGCAGCTCACACTCAGAGTCGAAGAGGATTTGGCTGAATTTTGCTGTAATGCTAGATGATGGAGCAGCCCATCATTAGAGTTCTTAGCTCTCTATTGCAGTCAGTTGCCCAGGGGCAGTTAAGTGACAAGCTGTGGAGCAGTGTGTGCAAAGCAGTGCCCGAGCACTTCCCCCGCCAGCTTAGTCCTGGGCACTTTTAGGGGCAGAAACTTAAGAAACATTCCCAGCTCTAGCCAGAAGCCCCTGGTTTGGTTGAGGGGAAGGGAAGATATATGCCTACATGAAATTAAGATGCCAGGAAACAGAAAAAGGATGTTTCAGATATGTCTAAGTTAGGAACTTTCGGGCCTTTGATTCTTTGTTCATAAAATGAGGGGCTTAAAATGTCCAATTTATAGGCATGAAATTTGGAAATTTTTAGTAATTATCTAAAAAACATGGATTCTAATGATACTTCAGTCATGTCTTTTGCACCCTGCATGCTCTGGAGGGCCCCTCCATGCTGTGTGGCAGTGCCCGACAGTAGCTTTCAGAGGATCCCTGTTTATCTGGTGACATATGCCAGTTAGTTGGCCTTTCTGCAAGATTCCTCATGTGAATTGGAATCAACTTCATGACCTTTTAGGATGGGAATGACGATTTGGCTTTGGAGGAGCAACTAATCTCATGAAGAAGGTGAATGCAAGATATTAACTGGCCCCAGAAATGGTATAAACACCAGGACTCTAATCGGGATGTTTTTAAGAGAAGTTATTTTGCTCATATGATAGTAACATTTACATGTATGTTCTCATGTGTACATACATAGCCTGTCTAGTTTCAATGGACAAACTTTAAGTCCAATGAGATTAACTTAAAATATACCTTTTTCAGGTTCGAGAAAACAGCTACACATATGAGTTTGATTTCTCTAAAGTCTATTGGAATCCTCGTCTCTCTACAGAACATAGCAGGATCACTGACCTTCTGAATCCTGGAGATGTCTTGTTTGATGTGTTTGCTGGGGTTGGCCCCTTTGCCATACCAGCAGCAAGGAAAAATTGCACAGTGTTTGCCAATGATCTCAATCCTGAGTCCCATAAATGGCTGTTGCACAATTGTAAACTGAATAAAGTTGACCAAAAAGTGAAAGTCTTTAACATGGATGGAAAAGACTTCCTCCAAGGACCAGTCAGAGAAGAGTTAATGCTTCGGCTACAACTGTCAACGGAAGCAAAACCTTCTGTCCACATTGTCATGAACTTGCCGGCAAAGGCCGTAGAATCCCTCCATGTTTTCAGATCCCTTCTGGATGGGCAGCCGTGCAGCAGGGAGCTCCTCCCCACAGTGCACTGCTACTCTTTCTCCAGAGACGCCGACCCTGCCCAGGATGTCCGTCAGCGAGCTGGGGCTGAGCTAGGCATTTCCTTGGAGGAGAGTAGTTCCATCCACCTGGTGAGAAACGTGGCCCCTAACAAGAAAATGTTGTGCATCACTTTCCGGGTTCCCGCTGCTATACTCTACAAGGACCCGCCTCTCAGTCTAGGTAGGTTCTCTAGAATGCAGCGTGGAGTAGAACACCTTTAACAGTGCGCGTGCGTGCGTGCGTGCGTGCGTGCGTGCGTGTGTGTGTGTGTGTGTGTTGGGGGGGGTTGGAAGTAGGGAAATAAAACTAGGTCCAGTCATTTTGTTTGTGACTTCTTGCTACTTAGTTCAGAATGTTTCTTCGGGTTTTAACTTAGTACACGGTTCAGTCTAAGAGGCTTGTTTTGTTAAGACAATAAATTCATAGCAGTGTTCTTTAAGTTGACTGAATGAAAAATATTTTAAGAATATCTTCTTTTAAAAAAATGTATTCAAATGTTAAAATCCTGTAAAATGGGTTTCCTGACTTCGTTACAGAGAATTACGAAGAGCCATCTCCTAAACGGCCGAGGACGAGTGCTTCCTTCTCAGAAGAGCCTCAAATTGTATCAGATTTAGTCTGAAATGCCTTCTCCACCTCCCCCATAGCTTTTATGTAAAGAAGTACATTTGTATGGTTTTGTAAACTTTAGCAATCAGGTATTTGTTATCGCGCCCTTATGTTTCACTCTTATGAATGGAATATTACCAAAGTAAAATTTAACTGAAATAGGCTGACCATGTGTAGGATACAGACTGTTTTGTGTTTCTATTGTTTTTTTTCTTTTTATGTATTATTTTTTGGCAAGGTCTGTGTAACCCAGGGCATGAAAATCTGTCTTCCTGCTTCAGCCTCACAGTTGTTGGAATTTCAGGCACACACTGCCATTATCCAGCATACTTATAAAGTAGAATTGGTATAGACCAGTAAGACAGCTCATTGGTAAAGGCACTTGCTACCTACCTCATGACCTGAATTTGATCATCCAACATGGTGAAAGGAGAAAGTCCTGAAAGTTTTTCTCTGACTTCACCAAGGCACTCTGCATACACATATGCAAAATAAGGAACAAATTAACAAATTTTAAAAATCTAAATTATATAATGATTTTATAATCCAAGTTATATCTATTTTTATTACATAAATGTCTGTCCTTTGGAAAAATAGGGTTTTGGTTTGTTTGTTTGTTTGTTTTCCAAAACAGGGTTTCTCTGTGTAACAACCCCGGCTGTCCTGGACTCACTTTGTAGAACAGGCTAGCCTTGAACTCACAGAGATCTACCTGCCTCTGTTGGGAGTAAAGGCATGCATCACCATGCCTGCCTGGAAAGATAGTTTTTGTAGATAGAGTGATTATATTCTATTTAACTAGGAAGGCATTTAACTACATTGTAGTTGGTAGTGGAGGAATATAATTATATAACTTTTGTACCAATTAGCAGTATAAAAGTAATACAAAATTAGTTTATTTAGATGAGGACTAGGAAAACCACATCTTCCAGGCTAAGTCTGGCATAACAGCCTGTGACATAAGGATTTTCTTTCAAGTGACTAAAAAATAATAACATTTTGCTGTAGAGGAACTTTAATTCAGAACATGGCTGCTCTAGCAAGAGGTCATATGCAAAGACCTAGGTCTGTGTGATCCTGCTGGAATACAAACATGCCTTTGATCCAGGAGACAGGCTAGGAGATCTGAGTTCAACGCCAGCCTAGTATAGAACAAGTTTCAGGTAAAGAAAAGCTTAAATCCAGGCATGGTGGTACATGTCTTTAATCCCAGACAATGAAGGTTTGTAGAAGAAAGTACCCATGTTTGAAAGTGATGCCTGAGTAGCAGAAATGGTGAAAAATCAGAGAAAGATTTGACAGAATAGGATACACCCAACTCTTAGGAGAAGAGAGAAAAGGAAGCTACTTAAGGGGAAATGAGAGCAAGAGGGGAGGCTGTTTTACTGGGACAGTAATGCAGGTTGCAGTGAGCGAACTCAGGTGAAGACAAAGAATGAGAAGGAGCGAGGAGATTAGAGTAGGTTGCTGGAGTTAGTTTAGGCCAAGTAGAGCAATTTAGGAGCTGAGAGAAAAGCCAGATTGAATAAGTCAGCTGGGAGAGGCGTTTGAGCCAGAACAGCTGAGTTGAACCAGCCAGCCAGAGCTCAGTAAGAATGAGTAAGGGTGAGCTTATTTAGGCAGTAATTTTCAGGGGCTGAAAACATTCCAGGCCTAGGTTAGATTGTACAGAGGCTAGAAGCTTTTAGGACTAGGCCTAGGTTAGCAGTCACAGGCAGGAAGCCTTTGAGACAACAACGGAACCAGGCAAATAAAAGTTCTTTTTACATATTGTGACATGGAACTTAAATAAAATTTGAGTTTTAGGGTTTTGGTGTGCATGAAGTTTGATTGGCACCTGCCCTCCCTCTTAGTTTTCATACTGTCTACAGCTGCTCATGTGATGGACAGCAAAGTGGCACAATTGCACCACAGACCTCGAGGCGACTCACGGCCACTCCGCAGCTTGGCCTGCGGTCCCAGGCTGTAACTCAACAGACGGCATTCTGAATATACACACAGTTTGGTTTTGGTTTTGAGACCAGAGTCTCACACTATAGCTCAGTCTCACCCAGAATTCACTGCGCAGCCAGGTTTGACTTAGACTCACGGCAACCCTCCTGCCTCAGCTTCCCAGATGCTAGGTACAGGTGAGTCATGCCCAGCTTCACAAGTTTCTTTTTTTTTTTTTTTTTTTTTTGTTATTAGTGAAAGCCATTATCTCAGGACAAATGAGCCTTGGATATGTTACGCCTTGAAGGCACAGTGGGCTGTGAATTCTTATTATTGAGGTGACACAGCATCTGTGCCCATGTTAAAAAAAAAAAAAAAAAACTTATTTTTTTATAAATAGTGTGCATGGTATTATCAAAGTACTTGTCTCTATTTTGAAGTAATTTTAAGAAAATTTGAAAACCTTAAGCCAGAATAGCAAACATATGTCTTATTAAAAAATAAAAATAACTTACCTTTAAGTCCCCAAAATGACTCTTTTAGCCACATAAAGAAAGCATTTACTGTTGTTAATTGTGTTTCAGTGCAGCAACTGAAAAACTTTGTGTGGAGAAAATAGAAACATGTTTAAGAGGATTGGCCTTTGGCAGGAACATTGTTCAGTTGAGAGAAGGTTGGGAGCGATGTCAGCAGGCAACTGAGGTAAAGAACTCGGCTTTGCTTCTAAGGGGCTGACAGATGTTACTAACACGGCCCAGTTCTTTAAAGCTGACCAGGCTTGAAAGGACTGAAGAACTAGCCTCCGTGACTGCTTTCAGTGTGGAACTATGAATGAAAAGGGAGCTTCCAAAACACTTTACTGTGCAACTAAAATAGAATTTGCTAAGATCTCTTATAAATGACTTTTTTTTTAAGTATGTGGAAGTTGGGTGGTGGTGCATGCCTTTGGATCTCTGAGTTCGAGGCCAGCCTGGTGTACAGAGCAAGGTCCAGGAGATTCAGAGCTGCCACCCCAAGCCCCACCAAATATATATATATATATATATATAATCTAGTAATACCATGCAGTGTATGACACAGAGTGCTTAGTTGGACATGTTTATAAATCTTGTGAAATTTTAAGGAGTTTAAAGCTGTTTTATTCAGCACTGTGATCTCTCAAATGTGTCTGAACCAGTTGTATCTGTGGTGAACTTCATTTGCTTTTCATAACGAAATCCTCCAATTTCTTGAGTTTTGCCAGCAATTGAAGCTGAGATCTTTCCTGGCTGTACCACCTAATTTACAAGTTTGTAATATGGAAAGAATACAGCTTTCAAAAAAGTGTATGTGCGTGTTTGCACTGTGGAACACTGTGAGGTCAGAGGACAACTTCACAGAGTTGGCTCTGTCTACCTTTATGTGGTTTCTGGAGACTGAACTCAAGTCATCAGGCTTTAGAGCAAAAGCCTTTATATGCTAAGTTTTATCACTGGCTCTAAAGGTTATAATTTTTTAGCTTTTGATACAAAAGCTAAACAATACAAGTTTTTCTCAACAAGAAGAACCATCCTTAAACATTGTTCTGGAAGACTGAATAACCTCAGAAAATAACTTCATGAGGACTTGGGACCTGATACATTCCTTTAAAGATTCCACCTAAGGTTATAAAGGCCCCTTTGATGTGAAACAGCTATAGTAGAGTCATTTATACAACTGACTTTGACTCAAAATATCCTATTCTGTATACTTCAGGCTATCAAAAATTAAGACAAGGTTTCCATCCTCACAAATTAGCAGTAAGCTGTCTTTCCGAAGTTCAGTAATTCTGTGGCGTGCAAGTGCCAAGGGGTTGTCACCTCAGACCATTTACTGCCGTTAAGGAGCTGCCACAAACTAGAGCCTGTTCATATGCTCTGTAATGACACACACCAGGAAAAGAATCTAATCCTTTTTAAAATGCCCTCCTACTCCTTTGAGAAGTCCCTAGCTCAGTGCTAGGTGTGAAACACTTCTCCAGTTTTTGATCAGAGGTGTACTGGAGACTCCTGAAAAATATAGGCTTTTGCCTTTGCTCTTGGTTGCCCACCCGAACTTGATGGTAAAATCCTACTGCTAGAGACAGATGATTTTATGATAAGAAATGGAGAGATCAGCTGATAGCAGGAAGCTTCCTAGCTCTCAAAGCACAAGGTGCTATGTAGGCTACACCGGGTGCAGGAGGGGATGGCAAGTTTTATTCAGTGGTGAACAATAATGAGCAGATTGGCAAGATATGCTCAAAGGTGGCATGAATGTTAATGGGTAACCAAGCACTTCCTGATTGGAGTTCAGGCCTACTCCACAGGAGCAAACACGTCACTGGCACTGTACATCTAGCCAAGAACCATGGATGGGTTCTCGTCAAGGGTGAACCTACTACTCTGCTAAACAGACTTTCTATCAATCTGCACTCTAAGTTCATATCTCTATAGACATAGATTAGTACAACTCTCAGACGGGAAAGTTCCTTTGTATAGTGGATGGTGATTAAGGTAGAACCTCACAACTGAACACTCAGTCATAACTAGGACATCAATATCACCACCATCACCACACCACACCGCTCAGGGACCAGCGCAGAAGAGGGAGCGAGAAGAATGTAAGAGCCAAGATTAGGGGGACTAGAGTGTGTGCGTCATCTGAAAAGAACAGGACCGTTGCCCTCATATACTCACGGCATCTGTGAGTGCCTGTACGATAAAGCTGGTAAACAGTAAGATGGAGGGGAGAGCATGAGCTCCCACCCCCAGCCAAGGAGCTACCGACAGCAGATGGCTTCTGGGAGAGGTGTCTTTTTTAGAAGGGTGAGGTCCCTGGGAGTCAACCGTGCTGTAGTGGATGGCCCCTCACCCAGAGTTTATGGTTAACACAGACTGCGTGTGGTGGGTTTGTGTGGGAAGAGGGATGTGGAAGAAAATCTGAACTATGCTTGATTAATGTTCTGGTTTGTTTCCGTTGCCATTGTAGAAAGCGACTTAGGGGAGAAAGGGACTTACTTTGGCTAACACTTTGCGAACACGGGCCAGCACTGTAAAGAAGTCACACACCCCGAGTCAGAACAGAAAGAAATGAATGCATGTGTACACTTAACTAGCTTGCACTCACCTTGACCTCTCCACTCAGCTCAGATCCCCTGGCTCAGCAGTGGTGCTGCCCACAGCAGGCTGGGGCTTTGCATATTAACTTCACTTCAAACAGTTCTCCCACGGACCTGCCACAGGACAACCCGAGGTACACAATCCATCACTGACTCTCTGCCTAGGTGATTTTATTCTAGATTGGTAAGCTGACAATGAAAGCTAACCATCAGAGCTGATATCGTATGTTTCATGGGTTGAGACCAATATTTGGCAGAATTTGCCTATTAAAAACCGTTTTAGCTTTTCTCACTCCCCAGCCATCTTGGCAGCTGTTCTTGACTGGGGCTGTCCTGCACCTAAGACAGGAAGATGGTGGCCGCAAAGAAGACGAAAAAGTCTCTGAGTCCATCAACTCTAGGCTCCAACTTGTTACAAAAAATGGAAAGTATGTGCTGGGAAACAAACAGACTCTGAAGATGATCAGACAAGGCAAAGAGACATTGGTTATCCTTTCCAACAACCACCCAACTCTGAGGAAATCTGAGAAAGAATACGATGCCGTGTTGGCTTGAACTGGTGTCCATCACCACACTGGCAATAATAATGAATTGGGCACAGTGTGTGGAAAATAGTACAGAGTATGCTTACTGGCTCTCATTGACCCCGGTGATTCTGATAGTATTAGAAGCCAGAAGAGACCGGTGAAAAGTAAACTGGGGAAAGTTTCCTTTAATAAAACTTTGCTAGAGCTCCTTAAAAAACAAAAAGTTTTAAAGGTAAAATGTGTAGAACCCCATTACAGATGATCAGTGAATGTTAATTTTGATAACAAACAATCAGACCTCCAACTAAAGGCACTACAAAAACTGTGCTTAATTATACCTTTTTATCAATAAAATTGTCACAAGTTGTTTAATCTCATTATGTGCTCTTAATTTGTCACCTAGCCCAAAAGGCCTAAAATATCTACTATATGGACCTCTAACCTAGAATACTAATTATAGCTTCAGAAGCCTGGTGGGCAAATATGAATGAGTAAAGACAATCAGTGGTAATGGTGGAAAGCATAAGGAGGCAGGAAGTGAAAATGCAGGTAAAAAAGCAAGAAGTATGTGGAAGTAATGAGCTAGAGGCCTATTTTTCTATGTAAAAGGAGCCTTACCACTTGGGCTTACATCCTGGCTCTGCTGTTTTTACGGTGTATTGCTCCTGGCAAGTTACTGTACTTCTCTCTCTGCTAAAACAGGGAAATGATAATGGAACTGTTTGTAAGGACTAGAAAATACAGAAATTAAAAAGCACAGTGCCTGGCACAAAAGTTGAACAATGGCTATTTCTGTACTAGGATTATACAACAGATACTTATGCAGATGAAAGACTTGCAGGCTCTGCCTCTAGGGGAAAATCATTGAAAGGCAAGAAAAAAAAGCACAGGATTCAAATTAGAATTTCCCATTTCTTACTGACATTCAATGTCAGGTAAAGATTTCTAAGGCAGATGCAAAACAAAGCTTGAAAGCCTTTGAAACGTTTTATTAATTAGTTCATTAACTTTACATACATCAATTTTGCACTCAAGCGTACAAAGCTCTTACCGTAGGTTCATTGTTGTCATGTTTTTTATCAGTTATACATTGGACTTAAAAGCATGAATTCTCAATTAGCAAACACCTAATATAAGGAATATACTATGCACACTGTAGAGTGGTCAGTGTTGGGGGTTGGCCTGATGCTTGTTTTATAATGCTAATTACTGGCCCTCAAGATCTGGTTACTGCCTGAATACACCTATCCTTGGGCAAACCTGCCTAAGACATTACTCGTGATTTGGTTGATTAAAAGGCCTAAAATCTGGGCAGGGCAGAATGGGGTAAGCGTGGCTGAGGTTCCCAAGCGTTGGGAATTGAGAATCACTGGAAAAACAGATGGGCAGGAAGAGAGGAGGAAGGAGGATGCCACAATGGGTTAGCATGGTGAAGGAACCATGTGGGCTGGGAGAAAAAGACTCCCAAGGATGACATGGAAAGGTCCAGATGAAAACTATAAGAAGGTATTTATAAGCTTATGGATAGAAGGTAGCCAAGACAGGAATGGTTATGATGGATGGTGTGCGATGGGAGAGTTGATGGTGAGGATATTGAAATAGCATGGGTGGAAACATCTCTCCAGCCCAAGGTCAATAAGGAATTATAAAATCTAACTGATGTCTAAATCTTAATTGTGACAGCGGGTTAAATAATACTGCGTGGTAATCATAGGGCTAATAATGAACAACATGTAGCCCAATACCCATTTCATTTACAACAACAGGTCAGGCTGGATTTGGATTAAGAAGTAACTTGGTCTAATTCTAGCTTTTTACTGATTTACATGTATAATCTTGACTTACTCAGTTCTTGGGTTTTTCATTTATCAAACATAAGAGGCGTTGTGATATCTAACAAAAGAGTGTGGCACCACAAGATGCACTGGAATGAACCTCCACTTAGTGAAATAAGATGGCACTGTGACTGATGACTATCACACGCGAATGGAGCCACAGACCTGATTCCTTTAACTCTCCACCCATAACATTAGCATCTGCTGTGATAGAGATTTGATAGCCATTCTTTTCATTTCCTTGAAGAACTATGTTCCGTATCCAGGGGCCTCATGCAACACTCACATAGGTTGGGGTGCTCCATGTGCCTATCCTGTCCTTACCCAGACTCTAAACAAAGGCATGCACACAGTAAAAGCCCTTGAAGTTTCAATGGAAAACTACATCAGTCTACAATTTAGGCAGACAAATTTCACTTACACAGTACCTTTTCCAGTCTCAACATCTCATCATAAAATGAGCTCACATTGGCAGTGAAAGGTGCCATTGATGTATTAAATTTTATTAGCTTACTTCTTTGAATTCGCCTTTAAAGCAGGTGCTCTGGTTTATCATGAGTGTGGCTCACAGCTGGGAACCATATTAGGTTTGCCTCATTGCCTCATTGAAAAGAGGTCCTGAGTTTCTTAAGGCTGAGAAGGAGCTATCATCATAGGTTAGGCTCTACTTGATACAGCCTGCTGGAAGGAGGACATATATGCACTTATCTGGACCACTACTAAGAAGACATTAGAAAAAAAAAGGAAGTTTTATGGGAAAAATATAGACTTGGACATTAACACTAAATGTTATAATCAAAAAGGCATTTGGAAACGTGTTCCAGAAAATACTGTAAGAAGAGAAAAACCACAAAATGTACCATAAAGTCAAGCTTTATTTTTAAAAAATGTCATAAGCCAACTCCATACATAGGCAAATCATTTATTTCTTTCCTATCAGATGAGGCTCAATGCTTCGCTCTGTCTCCGAAGAATAGAAGTAAAAAATAAATCTCTTCCGTGACTCCATATGCAGCACATTTCTCAGCTCGGTCCAGACTGTAATAACACTTGACACAGCAACTAGAGGCGGTGCCGCTGTGCGGCTGCGCGAACTGGGATGTCACAAATCTCTTTACTTTCAAGCCCCTTGGTTTGGCTCCAAGATCCAGATCTTATAAATGAGAAAATGCACGTTATCTGGGCTGCCAGAAAAGCCCACTGAATGCATCCTGGAGCGCTCTGTGGCACGCAAGGGAAGAAGTATAGCCGCCAGCAAGATCCTGTGGAGATGCTGCTCGGACATGGTTCAAATACCTGAAAGGAAATGACAAGTACAGCAGTGATGTGAAAAGCATAAGCTGGTGACCCTTTACAAAGCAAGTGTAAGACTGATTACTAATTTTAAAAGGAGTTCTGAGATGGAAATGCTCAGGTTTTTATAAGCGAACATCACCTTTTAAAAGGAAACCTGCCGACTGTATGCACGGGTTGTCCAGCTACCACTAAGTTACAAGGAACAGCGAGGTCAAAGAGGAGTCCTGAAGCTGTAGCCCATACATTCTAATGAAACGTTAAAATGTGCAGTTTTACACTTTCCAGTACTGGTTTGTTTCATTGGTGACGGTTTAGGCATCCAATGAATGCTGTCCGTTCTGGGTACTCTTAAGAGATACACATCATGACACTATTATGCTACTAATATTTTCACAAAGGCATTTTAAAGCAAATCCTTAAATAAGGAAAATGAATGGGGCAGGGAAGAGAGCAAACAATAGTGCAAGATCACCTCCGTACCCCAAACTGTACTGTCTCCTTCTATGCAAGAAAAGAAACCTTAGAGTTGACATGTCCAAGAAATCTGACACTAAGCCTACTCTGAAAATGTTATGACTCAGAGAGTAAGTGCAGAAGTACTGAACTGATCTCAAAAGACAGGATAATGATGTTTCTTTACTCTCACAGGTTTTTTATCAATGAAAAATGTCTGCTTCATAAAAATAGACAAAACAGGCCTAAAGAATAAGAGAATCCAACTAGAGAAATGACTTGTCAGCATGACCATTACCACTGCAGGAAAACGAGTAATTGCAGCCTTGCTTTAATGCCTCTGTAGGAAGCCACATAGTCCCTGAAAACAAAGCTGCTTTGCCCACTTTCAGAATTACAAGTATGACAGATGAATAAATCAGGAAGTAAGACATTTTAATAGCTTGGAACTTTTTCTACTCATTCATTCAAACTTCCTGTGTGCTGAAATCTTAATGCATGAGCAACTTCTTATTTCTAACATAACAAGTCAGTTTTCTGTTTGTGTCTATGTTTAATAAGCTTGTATGATTAAAATATATATGGCAACTTAAGGGACCAAATAGAGGGAACTGTCGAAATGAGACAGGCCAAGCTCCCGGAACTGGACATAATTTATTCACATTGTCACAAATCTTGGTCTTAACCCAGATCTTTGCTTTTCTGCCAAGGGTAAAAGTCAAAGGAGAAAAAAAACGAATGTTTATTGAACAACAATCTAAAACTATCTGGATAGTCTATTTATAGTAAACAGGTTATTTGTTATATATCCCCAAAACTTATCTGTAAGTTATAAAGAGCACTAATAGTGGATACTCTGTGTAATATAACCATAAACATTATATACAACTACAGTATCATGAAATGTATTTCGATGAAGAATTTAAGGGAGAAAATAAAACACGGGTTATGCCATGTTATACACCTCTGAGGATGAGCTAGCATCATTAAATGTTCCTTGCAGAGCCTAAAGTCTCACAGGAACTTATTAAATCTATCACACGACTGTAAGGTTATTTTCTTATTACCCTGCAGAGCACAACAAAATGCAAGCTGTTAAGATTCTGCTGGATAAAGCTGAGTGTGGTGCATACCTTTAATCCTATCTCTCGGGAGGCAGAGGCAGGCAGATCTCCCTGAGTTCGAAGCCAGCCTGGTCTACACAGTGAGCTGCAGGATAGCCAAAACTACAAAGTAAGACTTTGTCACAAAAGACAAAAAAAAACAAAACAAAAAGATCCTAAAGGGATTCCTATCACTAAACAGGGTATGTGGTGAGTTGCCTCACAAGGTAAAACTCAGTTCCTGCCACGAGAGACTCACTGATGATCACACAAATAAATACTGTTATAGGTAAAATGGAACTTACATCCTCAGTTACTGAGTTGTTTTAACTGGCTTTCACCCACATACCAGATAATAGTACATTACTTTCTTCTCAGAGCCTCAAAAGAAAGGTGGCATTCTGGCTCCCAAGCACTACAGTGTTGGTCAACAGTCAGAAAATGACAATCACAAATGGAATTCGCTTTCACAGTGGTAATAAAAGCCAATGTGCAGCTAACTATTGATTCATGACGTTTGGTCTGGCTGGCTTCTGGGAGAGTTGAGTCACACGTCTCTGGCTTGGCAAGTCCAGTATAAACTTGCAGTGTGCACACGGCTTTTTATATGTTATGCTGAGAAACCTGAAACAGCTGCACTGCTGGCAGGCAAACGCAGGCCCAGTAAAATACCTAAAACAGTTGCATCTTCTAATTTATGACTGTGCACTGTTTCCATAAAGAGTATATAAAACAGTTCAGCTTTTATAAGGAAAATGTAATAAACAGTCATACTCATTGAGGCCATAAATGCATTTTTTAAAAGTTTATCTAAAATGATTAATTAGTGTTTGAAAATAGTACTTCTTGAACACAGCCATAATCCAAAGCAATGAGCAAATATTGTTAAATTTGAGTTATTAATGGTAAGTTGTACGATTCTCACTGCCAAAATAAGTCAATTAAAATTTCTTTGCGTAGCACTGAAGAAAATGCATTTTCCTTCTCCAGTCATTTACATTAAACATGTCTGGGACTGTGGTCTTTAAGAGTCCTCCCTACTTATATTACTCTTTTTGATCTCGAGGGCTATACAAAACTTTTGCTGTTAGGTGGTTCAATATATTTGAACCAAGGCAATCTGTGTTAAATCAAGTTAAAAATATAGTTCCTTCTTACAATTCAATTGTATGATTTTGTTTCTAGGTGTTTTAATTCACTGTTTAAACCCTTTAATTATTATGGTATGCCAAAGTATTTTAAGGCTCTATCACACTGAAACCAGACATCAAGAATTCAGTGTTTTGCCCCTTTTTCCACCTTACTCCATACCTATGTTTATTCTTCTGTGGTCATTCAATGACACATCCTGGGGCTATGTTAGAGGTCGGCATCATTTTTTATAGTTTTATATAACAAAACAAGGAATATATCTTAGGCGAATTCATTTCTAGAAGCCAAGCTTTGGGACCTGGACACAACAGCTCTTCTTAGGCAATGCCAAAATATTTTTGCTTTTCATGGCTTTATTTTAAATATGTATAAGTCTTAGAAGTAGAAACCACTGTGGGGTTGCTTATTTTGGTAGCTATACCCTTATTTTTACTGAAAACAGACTAAATTCAATTTTTAAAAAATCATAATTTTCTTAATAAAGCCTAACAGTATGTTTTGAAAAACACATAAGGTAATTCTTATACAAAGGACATCTTGAACTCTAATTTATGCTCTGCCTAAAGTTGCCTTCCTTTGTCACTGTATATCAAAATCACTAGTGGACTCTGGAGATGGAGGAGAAAATGAAACAGTGGACCTTAGAGGAGCATGAACATTGGACTTGATGGTTTCCCTGAACTTCAATTTACATCATCCCTTTTTGCTTCTCACTTTTAGCAGCTCTTATTCCCCAGTAGGTGGTATAATTTACACTTTCCTTTAGAAAGACTTCACTTCCTCAGGTCCGGACAGAGTGTCTCTGGGACTACTCTTACTATTTCCTTCCCCTTAAAAGCCCTGCACTGACCATCTGGCAGACATCTTGTCCTTGATTCCTTCTGTTGCTGCTCAAACAAGGATCAAGAAGGGGCAGAGCATGGAGCAAGTCAGTGCGCGCTCTGCGAGCACCTGTCACAGCCTCTTTGAGATCAACCCTGAAACACATTTTAGAACTGAAATGGAAATAAAAACGAGTTCACATCAGCTGCTTCTCTTAAATTACGAGGTCCTGTGAAGAATTGCATTCTGAACTGTTTCAAAGTAAGAAAGAATAGTGAAGCGTAGAAAATAAGACCTGCTTTTCAAAATGTGGGGTGAGCTTTTCTAATGCTTTGTGTTTTAGGCAGAGTCTTCCTACATTTCCAGGGCTGGCCATGAACTACTGAGCTTAACTGTGGTTAAGCTTCTGGTCTACAGGCTCACTGAACTGTGCCAAGCTGCAGGGTGCCAGCCCACTTAAAATTTGCATTTAATGCCATCTTCCATTAAAGAGACCGGTCCCAATACAGTTCTGTGTCAAGACTAAGGCTCTAAGAAGCCTGAGGATCACATCCCATCGGTAGGATGTTACTTGGTGGGAGAAAACTCTACTAACACGTCCAAGGTCCTGGTTTCAATCCAATGCATTGTATCCCCCAACTCACCCCCAACCAACCGCCCAATGTTTAGCCATGGCTACCCAATATTTGTATTGAACCAGGGGAGAACTCAGTCAGTAAAGTGCTTGCTATGTAAGGAGAGGAGCTGATTTCCATTCCTGCCACACATATATAAAGACAGGTGTAGTGGCACAGACTTCTAATCTCAGTGCTAAAAAGGCAGAGGCAGGAGGATCTGTGGAGCTCACTGGCCAGCCAGCCTAGCTTAATTGGTGAACCAGGTCAATGTGAGGCCTGTTTCAAAGGAGGTGATGCTGCTCCTGAGGACGACACACTGGCCTCTCTGAATGTGTACATGCTGTACCCCCCCCCCCCAAACAGGCAACACATTCACAAAAATAATTAAAAAAAAAGAACCTGAGGAATAGGCTCCTCAGACTATTGATAAAATAAAACATTCTAAAAAGTAACTATACCACTGAATATGTGCTAGTCTACTGACAGCACTAGAATAACAATGAACAGATAAGTGTGCATGCTAAGATAAATGGGGAAGGTATTAGGATTAAGATACTAGCCATACTTCTGCAGCTAATTATAAAAACACATGGCTCCTGGTGGTGGTGGCACACGCCTTTAATCCCAGCACTTGAGAGGCAGAGGCAGAGGGATCTCTGTGAGTTCAAGGCCAGCCTGGTCTACAAAGTGAGTCCAGGACAGCCAGGGCAACAAGAGAAACCCTGTCTTGAAAAAAACAAAAACAAAAGACAAAAACCAAACCAAACTAAACCAAAACCAAAAACAAGCAAAAACCCCATATGGCTTGATGAACTCCAACCAAAAAACCTAACTTTTATGGATAGACATCATG